CCCCCCACTGATACGGCACTAAACACTTTTTTTATTTCACGCCCATGGACCACATTAAATATTCTGATGTTCCAACCAAGTTTAAACCAACTTTTTTTTTTTTGCACCATACTTAAATTGAGACGATATCGTTTTCTAAAAAGCAAATATTACGCGCACAACTCAGTTGAATTATATGCAAAATGTCATTTAGCGTGTTTATCGGGAGTTATATTTTGCGCGCTAGTGAACTCATCATTGGACCACACATTTCATTCAAACATTTAGAATTATGTGTAATATACTCTCAATAACAAATTCACTGATTAGGAATCAGTCCGGTAGGAAGCAGTCCAGAGTCACACCAGAAGCGTAAGGATTATTTCTAATATGCTTGCGACTATTCGTACCCGGATACCAGAAGTGAGAGGTTGTGATTAAAAAAACGATTTAAAATATTATTGTTGGGTTTGTAAGACGAAATGAGGTATCAAATGAAAGATAATTGAATGGACTAAAGCATGTTTGTCAACTTACTTCTTCAGTTTAACTCAAATAAACTACCACAACACCCCTATGGCCCGCCACGACGTCAAACAACAGTTAAACATAATTCACCCCTGGCTGAACCAAAACACCAGTTAAACATAATTCACCTCTGGCTGCACCAAAACACCAGTTAAACATAATTCACCCCTGGCTGAACCAAAACACCAGTTAAACATAATTCACCCCTGGCTGAACCAAAACACCAGTTAAAAATAATTCACCTCTGGCTGCACCAAAACACCAGTTAAACATAATTCACCCCTGGCTGAACCAAAACACCAGTCAAACAATTCACCTCTGGCTGAACCAAACAGGTCAGTAATTGATAATGTGTTAGTATATCCAATTACTTCTTCGACAGAAACATCCCCCCCCCCCACACACACACGATTTTGAGCATTTCTGTCGGACCCTTGCCCACTCGAAAAACAAATAGCAGCACCAATGATTACATATACAATTGCATTTTCATTATTTACAAAATGTGGGAAAGGGGGGGGGGGCTCTAAAAATGGCTATAAATTAATTTTTTAAGATTCTTATAAAAAAGATAAATACTTATGACCATATTTCTTCGTCAATTCATATTTCTTAGTCATAACTGTAGACTATATGTGTTTTCCGATGGTCTTAGGCGACCCCTGTGAAAGGGCCGTTCGACCCCCCCCCCCAAAAAAAAAGGGGTCGCGACCCACAGGTGGAGAACCGCTGCCTTCCGCCAACGGAACCTTCTGTGATTACGGGGGACTGGGTATTCAAAAAAGAAAAAATTAATTTTTTAAGATTCTTATAAAAAAGATAAAAACTTATTACCATATTTCTTCGTCAATTCATATTTCTTAGTCATAACTGTAGACTATATGTGTTTTCCGACGGTCTTAGGCGACCCCTGTGAAAGGGCCGTTCGACCCCCCCCCCCCAAAAAAAAAGGGGTCGCGACCCACAGGTTGAGAACCGCTGCCTTACGCCAATGGAACCTTCTGTGATTACGGGGGACTTGGTATTCAAAAAAGAAAGCATAAGTAATACCTTTAAAAACTGTCTTAAATGGGTTGTCAGTTGGATCACCACATCGTCGAGACTCTTTTGTAGAATTTGCAGCATTTTGAAGCCCTTTTGAACCGGGTTGCGGGAGCGGGAGTGGGGGTGGGGGAGAGATTGGGGAGCAGGTAGATCATGGTATTAATCACAGATATCTTATCACCCACTCGCCGAGTCCTCGACACTTATCGGGGTTTGAGATCTCTGTCAGTCCAGATTGCCGAGACATGAATAGTGGCAACACAAAACATGCTCTTAGGTTTACCTCCCTCCCCGTGGCTCCTCTGACGGTATTTTTGTGCCTGCCTACAGAAGCATTAGGGCGGAAACCCACCCCCCACACAGACACCCTCACAAACCCCACTCACAACCACACATACACACACAAGACCGGCTCGTGAAATGTTGTTTTCTCTTCGTTCTTGGGGCATGTCTTGGTTTTCCATTGCACCACGTTTGCTAGAACAATGCACGGGGTAGATAGACGCCTCGTATGCCTCTTAACACTTAATAATACAGCACAGATTAGTCAATCAGCTTAGAATTATTATAAGGGGTCGTTCGCAATTAACGTCACGCTCAGGGGGGAGAGGGGTAGAGAATTTGTGGCACTCACTTTGTGACAGGGGTGACCGGGGGAGGGGGGGTATCAAAAATGTGTGAAGTCAAGCTCTTTTTTTTTTTTTTTAAATCTAAAGTTTTATAATTTTGAAAAATCTTTATTCACTTAATTTGAGGTCGAAATTGCCTTAGGCATTATAAGTACTGTGACACCTTCTGCACATGCAGAAAAATGACGCAAAAACTGTTGTGGCCATTTTACATTCGGCTTGTGGAGGACTTCGTTGTTTTGCGTTTACGTCACAGTTTTCTAATAATAGTATCTACATCTTAATCCATTGTGGGGGAAATTTTAAAGAATAAAATAAAATCTTATTTTAGTTATGAAAATTGTATGTATGTTTTGATTTTTTTTTAGGTGTGACGTGACACTAAAGTGTGTGTGTGGGGGGGGGGGGTAAGGTGTAAAGAATTTGTGACACTTTTGGCGTGACGTAATTTGCGAACGACCCTTACGGTTACCGGTAGAACTTAAACAAAGATGCCTGGGAATAGTTCATAATTTCAGGTAATTTTTTTAAAAATTCCTATATATTAACTTCCTTTTTCTTCGTGGAGGCTGGCAAAATCTTCGGACGACTAATTGACCCACGTCACGTCATCGAGCTGAAACTTGGCACATAGACTCATTGCCGATGATGACACTTTCTATCGAATTTTCAGCCCCACCCCCCCAGCCCAAATCCCCCAAAATCAGCCGTGTCCTCTTTTTTCAAGGGGAACATGAAGAAAAATTCCCGATAACTTTGCTGAATGAGATTCTTCAAAATCAAAGAATATCGCAGGTGCGTTTGGTGCGTAATATTTTCCTCTTGTTTTTTTCTGAAACAGTTGATCAAATCCATCTGCGGTGTAAAAGCGGGAGGGACATAAGAATATTAGTATAAAATACAATAATAAAAATTGCGTATAAAGGATTTATACAGGAAAAACTTCTTTTTTTAGGGTTGTTTTATTAAGGTCGTTTTGCTTTAGGGGGTAAATAATCACATACACGTTGCCAGTTCATCCTTTCACGAAATCAAACAACACAAATAATTAACAGTTCATTCGAAATCTGACAACGACAGTCACGTTTAAATTCGTTCACTTGTTGGCCGTAAGTCCGCTGTAGGCCTACGATTGAAGAAGCAATGGGAACGCTCACTGGCTAAAAAATGTATACATATTGTCTATTCACACGTAATCGTCTTGGGTTAAAGCCGTGTATTTCACCCGCCTGCCCGCGTGGTCGTCTCTTCCAGCGCTGTGCCTCCATCTTTCAACAAATCTCGGTAACCATGGTGCAGGATGACGTGACTGAGAACCACGACGGACTTGGTCAGATTTTGCCGCGACCTCAAGCATGCGTCCCCAATCAGACACGACTTTACTACACTCCGGGGAATGAGATCTACCAGGAATCATTCCCCGTGTTTTGTTTTCTACTTTTGAACTTTTCTGCAGTTCATGGCCGTGGGATCCCCTGTGGATTTTACGATCGTCACACATTTTCAGCCAAGCCCTGTTTCCGGTCACGGTGTTGCGGTCAGTTTTTGAGGGTTTGGTGGAGCCAGGTGGCGCGACTAATCCGCGATGACGAGGGGGAGAATAATCCAGGTCCATCAGGGAAACGTCTGACACTTCCTTCATGATGCTGTCCAGTTTCTTCAGATGCGGTGAGTGCTTGAACAGCCATTCGAAGGCCGTTGCTTTGCTCAGGGCGACATGCACTTTCTCTTTGGGGGGCTTCCTCCTTGCACTCCCCACATCCGCCCGCTTTCTGACGAACCGTTTCTCTTGGGACGACGCCCTCGTCCTACACTCGTTGACGTTTTCTGTCAAACTTCGCCGTACGTCAGCCCGCGGCGAACTTCCAACGCCGTCTAACCAGGCGTTCGTGTTTGTCTGATCAGCGTTTTGCTTCTCGCCGTCCGTCTCGCCTTGGTCGACTTCTCCCATCACGACCGGGTCGTTTCGATCCTCGCCGTCGGGGACCGCGTCATCTGACCCCCTCTGGTCAACTTCCGCCGTCAGTATTTGGTCAGTGGCATCCTCATCGTTTTGGACCGCGTCATCCGACTCACCCTGGTCAACTTCCAACGTCACGACCTGATCATTTTGATCCGTCCCGTTCGGGTCTGCACCCTCAGATTCGCTTTGGTCAACATCCCCTCTCATGATTTGGTCCAGTTCATTCGCCTCACTTTGCACCGGGCCGCCGTCTTCGCTGTCGTCAGCCAAATCGTCTGCGCTTTGATCAGCTGTTTTGGCTTCATCCTCAGCCGCCGCCTCCTCTTCTTCACTTTCCTCATCGGTCTCTTCCTCCATACCTGCTTCACTCTCGGATGTTTCCTCTCCGTCGTCAGCGTCGGGCGTGTCTTCTTCCTCGTCTTGCAGGCTACTCTCGTCGTCGGTTTCCGGATCTGGAAAATCCGCAGCAGTGACTTCCCCTTTCTCGACAAAATTGTTCAGCGTCTCCTGCCAGCCTTTTCTTTCTTTGATGAACTCCTTTTCCGTCTCGTCCTCCGTTTTCTTCAGCCTGAAGGCCGAATACAGGAAGACGACAAACGATATGATGATGACTAATCCTATAATCGTAAAAACCAGGGCCTTGTGGTCAACCATGGCTCTGTACCACCTGGCAGCAAATGAAGGTGGGTCGTCCACTCCAATTTGTAACCTGATTTTTTTAATTTTTTTTAAATATTAAATTTGCATAAATTCACATTTTATAAATATTTCAATTTTTTTTTTTTTTTAAAGTTCAGACATCATCAAGTGTCATTATAATATTAGAAAAAGGGGACACTATTTAGGTGTAAATGCCACCAAGACAAGAGTTTTTCGCCTTTGAATTTAGTTTTGAACTTTTTAAAAAAAAAAATTAAAAAATCAAAAAAACTTGATTGCCTGAAAATATGACCAATCGAGCCAACTATCACCGACACCGATGACAAATTAATTATCAAGTAACCATGAAAATGAGCGCAAGCCGGCGCTGTATAAGTGCATTGTATCAAACATGTGTGTCAAGATCGCAAAGGGGATGTTGCTTTTTATTGCTTGAATAAAAGTCTTTTATTTTCATTTTTTTTTAAAATATATATAATTACAGATGCCTTAACTCTTGTGTTAAAGATATAAGCGCGGGCTTTGTGTCCGTCCTAGGTCTTTCTCTTATGAAGCCAATCGTGCCAGATCTGGGGGACACCACAGCAATTCAAACTAGTGTTTGATACACTTTAAAGCTACACAGCTGGAGTGTAAGCAGTGGCGTAGCTAGCCGAAAGTGATGCCCGGGGGCGGACCAAGATTTTTTGCACGAAAAAAAAACAACAAAAAACAACTCCCCTTTATATGAAGAGAAAAGTGTATCGCGCCAACGAGTGAAGGACGCGACAAAACATATCCCTATGTTCCACAATAGTTTGATTTAAAAAAAAAATTAGTATACTTAATGAGTACCGGTATACTTAAGGTTACTTAACTGGCCAGTTTTTTTTAAAAGTTTTTTTTTACATTTTTAAATGATGACCCACCAAGCCGTGCCCCATGTCCTGTTGGTCCGGGAGTGGGTCACCTGGCACTCCCACACGCCTGCCTGCTTCCGTTCGATCCTCGGCACCAGCTCGTCGGTCTTGTTCTCGGCCAGTGTGGCCGGCAGTGACGTCACGGCGGTCTCGTTCAGGAGCCACCGCCTCGCCGACGCCGGGAAGAGCCGGCCCAGGGTCCGACTGTGGCACACCAAGGTCATGGGGTCGTTCTCAAACACGTATCTTGTGGGGGTCTCGGACGTCACCTGTGTTTGAGTGTGTGTGTGTGTTATAGACCGTGCATTTTTTAAAAATTATTTATGTAAAAAGCCTTCCATTAAAATTCAAAGATTCCGAGAAAATTATTATTGGTGTTTGTACACTGTGCCAGCTTTTTTTTTTTTTTTAATTTCTCGGCGCCTCTGCTAGATTAATTTTTTCACTGTCCCCCTTGTACCAATTCTATAAATTTATTTTTTTTTTTTTTTTTTTTATTTTGTTTTTTTTTTTAAGGTCCCGGGGCCCCTGCTAAATTAATTTTTTCACTGTTACCCTATTACAAATTTTTCAAATTAATTTTTTTTTTTTTTTTTTGCAAAGTAGCAATATATGTATTTCATTAAAGGGCTAGGTACAAAAAATAAAATAAAACAAAATACAAATCCCATACTAACCCTTTGAAGAGGCCTTGTTTCTGTAATTGCTAATTTGTATGTAAAGCGCAGTGAGCCTAGTCCTGGTCGTGGGTACTGCGCTATATAAAACCATCTAATAATAAACCTGTATGATTTGGTAAAACAGGTTTTAACGACAATCGATCGATTTCAGAAATACCTGGAGGCTATAGACGCCAACTGAAATGTTCTCAAACATACTTTCAGGGCCCCATTTGACGACGCACTCGTAGACCCCTGTGTCTGACGGGGTGAGATCTGCGACGTCCAGATTCCCCTTGTAGAAAAACATCCGGCTGGTGGCACCACAAAGGTAGACAGGACCAGGTTGTGTGAAAATATAAAGAATGGTCGGTAGCGGAATATAAGTGAGAGGGGTACGGCGGACAGGTTAACACAACTGCTCGCACGAGAACGACTTTTCATAAGACACATTCTAGTTATAGAAATGATTCTTCTTAATGTTTTTTTTTTCTTCTCTTTTCCAAATTTATTTTCTAATTTTTTTATTTCTGAACTTATTTACACGTATTTCGAATAAGCGACAACGACGCTATTTAAAAACATGAAATATCAACTCTGCTTTCTTTTAAATTAAAATTTAAACGAATAAAGAAAAACCAAATTTTTGTTTCTTGTGTTTACCTGGGATCCATTATCAAGGGCTCGTTGTTGAAAGTCCAGGCCAGAACTGACCCCACCAGCTCAGACAACACCATGTCTGTTATTGGGTGACCGCATTTAAACCTGGATCAGATTTGTTACGAACTGCTAATTGGATAAGTGGTTGAATGGCTTTGGTAAGTCTAGGGCAGGCCTGCACAACACACGGCCCGCGGGACGCATGTGGCCCACCAGCACACACTTTGCGGCCCGCTAAGTAACGAAATATTCTTTATTATTATTATTTTCTTAATAGCTTCTACCCACCCCCAACCCCCCACGGACCTATTTTCTTTCGGCCCGCACAAGTTTTTCATAAAGTATTACGGCCCGTCTTACATTTTGAGTTGTGCAGGCCTGGTCTAGGTGTTAATTATTAAACAAATCCTAAAATCAATATTTCACATGGTTCTTTATCGAACAACAGCTTGCCCTCTTCCTTCCGCATTCTCTCTCCGGCTCACCTACTAGCCAAAACTATAACAATTACGTGAACAACGTCATCTCCCATCTACGCAAGTCCATCAGAATTACAAGAGCACACGCCAACGGCTACACACATAATCTCCACGCCAAAAGACGAATCCCCCATCGAACAAATCATAACAAGATGCAGAGGCGTACCGAGGCTGTTTGGCGCCCGGGGACAAGATTCGCGCCCGGGGACAAGATCCATTTTAAACCGCCCCTTTTTCTTTTTTTTCAACCCTCAAACCCATTATTTTCATCAAAAAATAATATCAAAGCACATTTTGGCGCCCCTCATTAGCTGGCGCCCGGGGACATCTGTCCCCCCTGCCACCCCCTCGCTACGCCTCTGACAAGATGGTTACATGGTGTTGTTGTTTCATTGTTGTTGTTTTTTTTTTTTTTTTTTTTTTTTATTTTTTTTTTTGAAA